GCTGCTGCTGCTCCTGCTCCTGCTCCTGCTCCTGCTCCTGCTCCTGCTTCTGCTACTGCTACTGCTACTGCTACTGCTACTGCTACTGCTACTGCTACTGCTACTGCTACTGCTACTGCTACTAGTACTACTAGTACTGCTACTACTACTACTACTACTACTATTATTACTGTTATTGCTACTATTACTACTATTACTGCTACTACTTCAAGCGCTCCTCCTCCGCCTCCGCCCGCCGCTAGTGCTCCTGCTGCTATTACTCCTGCTGCTCCTGCTCCTCCGTCCACTACGACGACTACTACTACCACTGCTACCACTGGTACCGGTACCAGTACTGGTAGTACTAGGTTTGCTAGCATTGCCAGCACTACGACGACGACTGCGACTAGGACTGCGACGTCGGCGGCTACCACTTCTACGAATGCTATTACCATCCTGAGCTACTGTCTTTGCAGTGTCAGTATTTTGAAGTTCCTATTTTGGCCCCATGGCCTTTTGAACGTGTCCGTGGTGCATGAGTTTCTTTCTTTGTTGCGTCGTCTGCCAGGAGATTTACAGCAATGTGCAAACTGCAACCGGCGCTAGAGGCATGGCAAGGAGGACCGGTGACCAACAACATGGCACAACATGGACCTGATTTTCAATTGTTCTCCACATTGGAGCATCTGCAAGAATCGATGTGAGTGCCCTTTTCCCCAGACATGTGGCTGCCGGCAGGAGTTCATCGAAGGACTCGTCAGTGCCATCCAAGCCTGCGGATTCCACTGCCGACCCTTCCTCGGTCAAGAGTTTTTAACTTCTTACATGTCTCATGCTTGCGGGGGCGCCCACTGCATGTCACACCTCCTCAGTTATTCCCAGAACTCTGCAAAGATCTTCACAAAGTTTTGGCGCTACGCGAACCTGACTTCTTACAAGCGGCCGAGCAATGTGTAGCAAGCACGGGCCCTTGTTAGCTTGGTTCATGATAAGGTTCTTCAGCGACTAGACCGCATCGAGCAACAGCTGGAGCGCTGGGGGCCAAGCATCGAACAGATTATATTTCATACATTGTCATGGTGCATTAAATAATTTATCCTAAATCTTAACCATCAAGCAAGGCGAAATGTCGTATGTTAAATTGTTCCGCATATTTTATGATAAAGCACTTCCCCATTCCGGGTCTGCAGCTTGCGTGTCCGCTCTCCATGACCCTCCCAGGAGCTTCTATCACCGATTGTTTAGCCGGGTTGCTATTGCTCTGAGCCATAAACTCTGAACCCCTCCCTTTTCTTGCGATGCCTTGCTGCCAAGGTCTGATAAGCAGCAGCTCCCACTGGCAAAGCTCAGGCCGACTAGTACCAAGCAACCTCGGCCGGTGCGGTTCGAGATAAAGTATTTCGGGTTGAGGGTTTACAGATGCAAGGGTTAGTCCACCTTCCACCAAGCGGATGATTCACAGCACCTGCCTGCAGGAGTCAATGGGGCTCTACGCTCAGAAGTGTCCAGAGACTTCTCACTATGACGAACCTGTAGATGTCGTAGCAGAGATGCAAAGTGTCAGCAGTTCCGTTGATCGCGCCCAGGACGGTTTGGACGGTGTCGGCAGGTGGGCAGTTTGTACAAACGGACTAGATACATACATAAATACGTAGCATCAATGCATGCATGCACACATGCATATAATGTATGCGGTGTAGCACACTTGTGTGCGAAGCGACAATTGGTTGTTTTTGTCAATCACCGATCGACTCCGTGCGTGTACATGAGTCGGCTACCTTGATACATTCCGTTGCCATTTTGGTATAAGCTTCGAATTGAATTGAATGAAACTTTTCTTCTCCCACCCTCCCCAACCCTTGTTAGGCACTTCACTTTCTGCAAGACCCGACCGGGAAACGGGTGGTCCTCCTGACATCGAAAGAACATTTCCGTATGAAATGCGTGTGAAACTTTCGATGAACCCGACTATGTAGACTCCGAAGAGAGTCAGAAGCGCAGAATATGCCACTGAAGCGAAACCAGATTGAAAAAGGAGCACACAGCAGGGATCTATGCTGAACCGGTGAAAGCTTTCGTTATCTGTATGTATGTATGTCTGTGTACCAAGTAAAAAAATGTATGTCTGTATGCGTGCATGTATGTATTCATGTAGTCATGCCTGCGACACAAATTTGTAAATACACTAAACTCACTAAATATTTCGATAGTATGTATACGTTGAATTGTATAAGGCACATCTCATTCTGATTTTGTTTGTGTGCGTCTCCATGTCTTCACTGCGTGAGCCGTCGAGCGTTCGCCCTTTGATCCGCCCTGGTTTCGTTTTGGTCTTCACAGGCCGGCGATTTCGGAGTGTGGCGCCCAGGAGAATCGCACTTTGGGTTGGTAGAGTCTCCAACAGCTCCACGTACGCTTCAAGTTGGGCAACAGCTTGCAAGCTCCATCATGAGCTAACGAATGCCAAGGGGTTGGAAGCCCAACGCTACAGCCGCTGCAGCACCTTGGTTCATGATGTTTTCTGAGAGGGTCGGCAGGAACAACTGATAACTGATAAGTGAACGTAGGTGCCAGCGGCAAGAATACCAGCAGTCACACATTCAGCTCATGAGTGCTTGTGACTCGGTGACACTGTCCAAGACCACGGACCTTGAGGCACAGTCACGGATACCAGGAGCGCTCTTTCTGCATAGTTTGCTCGAATTCACCTTCACCCAGCCAGATAGTGAGCCAAATCTAGATTAATTGCCCAAATTGAGGGAAGCACGGTGGCGGAGGACCCCCCGAGCATCCCTTGCGAATGCCGCGCGGTGACACGGGTAAGCTGCTGCTGGAAGCTTAAAGCCAGTCACATGAAGTCCCAAGGGAGCTGGCCAAGATCTTGCTCGAGGTATTCGCAGCATCCTACAGCCGTGCTTTGCAGACGAAGCTGAGGCCGGAGTGTTGCACAATAACCGGCTCTGGTGTGCCAGGGCCCAAGAGTTTTCGACACTGCGACGTCGCAACAAGTGCAGCACAGAGATTGCTCCTCTGAGGCCGCAGCGGGTGCAAAAACGCCCAACGCCCCTGCGAAGCAGGCCGATTTCACAAGTTCTGCACATGGACCTGTTAGTGATTGGCTTCTTTTTTGCGGTCTCTTGCGCTTGCAAGTCTGCGGCGAGGAGTAAATCACCTGGCCGTGTGGACGGAGCACAGATGGCGCAAGGCCCGCACTTCGTTTTGGAAAGACTCGGTCGGATTCCTAACCCCCAGCTACAAGCAATTAATAAAACGTAAAGCCGTTGTGAGCGTCGAAACCTTTAACTCGGCTCAAAAAAGCGGACGAGCCTCGCCTGCATCGTTCGAGTCGCGAGAGTTCAAGCCGCTTATCATTGACTTTGGATTTCGACATGACTCGCAGCAGTCGCTTCTCCGAGGTTGTCTACCGAACAACAAACCCTAAGCTTTACTCAGCTGTGCATCTGCCACAGATCCTGACTGCACCCTGCAACGCGGGCTCGTCCTTGCAAGGTAGGAGGGAAAACGCTTTACTCAGCCATGCGAGAAGGGAAAAAAGCCCTAAAGCTTCCCCAGACTAGCAAAGTCTTGTGGGGCCTTCTTGAAATGAGAGACGAAACCCAGTGTTTCTGCAGGTGCTTCTGCTTCCCTGGTCTCACGTGTTTAGGAAGCCCACTGATGTGGGACAGGACTGAGGGAGCAGTCAGGGAATCATTAGCGAAAGGCTTGGCAGCATGCCACTGATAGTAGCTTGCTGTTCTGACGTTTCTCGTCACTTCTGCTCCTGCTCATCCAGACAAGTCTTACTTTCAACTTTGCAAGGTGTCATAACTGCAGCCTTGGCGGGTTTCATTGTCATACCTGCTGCGTGGGGGATGTTTCATGTGCGCACTGAGGTCACTGGTAGCAGTGTCTTGGTTACAGATCTACCTCTGCATGGTTATCTCGTAATTGTAAGTTCCTGTAGCGCTGCACTTCAACTTTGGAAAGGGAGGCGACTGGAAAGCCTTACTTGGACTTGCTAGCCACAGCCCAGACCTAATGATTCTCACCTAGTTGAACTCGATCAGCGCCCTTTAGCACGGAGTGCTTGCTGCGCTGTGAGGGTGCACGGTGTTCAGCAAGGCTGGATGGTTGCTGGCAATTATGCAGTCATGAAGACCTGGGTTCCAAGAAGGTATGATCGGATGAAGAGTAGAGCAGCGAAGAACAGCTGCATAGGCTCAGAATTACAAACATCTGTTTCTGTGAAGTCGCGCAACCCGCTGGGATGCCGCTGCGGCCCGGAGTCTTGATTGTGACTACGAGTGGAACTCCGAGTATGGACAAAGGGCCATCGCCGGATGGGAGGGGCTCCGGATTCCTTGTGCCAAAACGAAACCGACGAGGTTTGAAGAGCACCGGAATCCCCGAACCATGGGAAAACCGAAGCCGTTCTTAGAGCTTTCCGGCGGCTAGTCGCGGAACCCTCCCAGGCCGAGGCAAACTTTTTTTCGCAGAACAGTTTCAGATCAGCCAACACTGGGCCACGGACCATGCTTCAATCGTGTGTAGCCCACATCCAGGGATCCCTTCTTCGAAGTGCAACTCCATGCAGCTCAATTGCATGTCCGGTGCCTTCTGTCCGCTGGACTGCATTGATACCTCTTTTCCGGCCGGTAAAGGACAGCTCTGACAACCTGCAAGAGATGACCTGATCACGTATACTTAGGGTTTAGGGTTTATGGTTTAGGGTTTAGGGTTTAGGGCCACTGTTGGAACATCACTCTCCCCCATTCCGAAAACTGAAGAATGTCGCTCTGCCCATAGTGGGGTGCACTAGGCAAAAAAGCCTAAAGCCTAGGAGAGTGGGAACAGGAGCGCAATATTTGCCGCTGCTTGTTTTCCAACTTGTCGGCCTCTACGATGTTATGTGTGATGTGGCTGTTTCGAAATTCCGAAGTGCGATTCGGTTTTCAGCTACAGTTCAGTGATGTAGTAAGGGACGTAGTGGGCGGTGTCTCGTCAGAGCATCCCTTGGCGGAACTTACGACTACGGACGAAGTCCCGGTCGTAGCTACCAGGCAACTTGAAACCCTGTAGTGGGTAAGTGGAGCAGACATCGCGAGGAAGCCCTTTGTTTCCTCACAGGCGCAGCAAGCATGCCCAAACGTGTGCGCTGGCATGAAGCAAGTCCACAGCAAGAGGAGTGCAGAACGTCGGTCAGGAAAAAAGGGCTTTCTCCCAGGTAGACTATGCCAGAGTTTCACCTCCATGTCCAACACCGTTTGTTTCTAAATTTGACGTGAATGTTGTGAAGATGAAGCCGTAATGTTACCTTTTCGAGCTGTTCATGCACATCAGGGCATCTTGCATGTTTGTTCGTCTACTTCATGGCGCTTTGTACCTATGACATTTTGACAACTGGGGTTCCAACTGGAGGTACCTGTTTGCATGGCTTGCTAGCTTAAAAGAATACACGGGCATACTTTGGACGACTCCCTGATATTGGCTGCCCAATACACTCATCGCCCCTGAACCAAGAACTCAGCTCGTTGCACTGTTTTGCCATCACATTCGAGGGCCAACTGTGGTGCTTGGTGTGGACACGGGACATGGACTCGTGCGGAGGGACGATCGCACCGCGGTCGACGCAACTCCGCTGCAGTGAATGACTCGCGCGAAAATCGCCGGACTCTCTCACTTCTCGTTGGAGGGGCTATTGCCTCTGGCGAAGTGCTGCTTCCTCATCACTGGCTTCAGGGCAGAGAGAGAGAGAGAGAGACAGAGAGTGGCGTAGCCCTTTCACGCAGGGGGTGGGGAACTTGCGTCCCGCTGCCAAACGCCCAGCAAGCAAGCAAGCAGGAGAGAGAGTGGGTCTCCGCGCCTTGGCGCGGGTTCGCTTACGAACCTGGGCCAGGAAGAGTGGGTCTCCGTAGGTAGCGTATACATATATTCTTACGCATATGTAGAAGTGTATTTGTATAAGACATATATATATACACATACAATATGTATATGCATACTGTATGTATATTGTCGAAAGCGCATCCATTCCAGCAATATTCAGAGCTTCCCCTGCGCTTGCTGTATTCAACTGAGAAATGGTCAACGTGTCTTGTTGTTTCATTTTGTTTCGTGCAGCCTATACTGTAGAATCAACCATGCAACAAAGGACAACTTAGAGCCTGCGATAAATCGCAAAGAGTCTATTTTCCAGTGCCATGCGTCTGGCAGTCCATGGTCATCCGGTACATGACGTGATGAAGTCGACTCGAGGAATGGACCAAGCAGCAGAGCAAGCTTTAAAGGGCAATAAACACCGCAGTCGTGTATGTAGGCAGGTGTATCGAACAGCCGGCAGAAATCGGCAATTGAGCCCCGGCCCCTGCGCATGCAGTATCTTTATCAAGCTGAACGGAGAAAGTAAAGGCTTCAACTGATTTTTGTGCTTCGGAGAAGCGCTCTCATCCCTTACCTTGCGCGATGCTCGCCTGTGCGGCGGCGCTGGAGAACCTCCATGCTTGCACAGGAGCGATCTTAAATGGTGATTGATAAACGTATGGCCTGGCCGCACTGAGCCAGAGCAACCGGCAAGCCCTCTTCCTCTTCCTCCAAAGTGGAGTGGCAAGTTCCGGTGCCTCCTTGCCAGCACCCCCGACTGCAGGAAGCAGTCCCGCTTGGAACATGCAGCCGGTCTTGCCCGCTAAGCCAGCGAATGGCGAAGCATCCAGCATCCGGACGGCATACAGTCACCTGCTCGTGTGCTGTTTGACCCATGATCTGCATACCGCTGCCGTCTTGTGAGTGATGGCTAAGAAAAGCTGCAGACTCAGGTGCCATGGCTTCGCGCAGTAGAGCATGGGCCGTCGTTGCAACTCAGTCGCATCTGTGTTCGGCTTGCTTTGAGCCTGTCTGCACACCCATCCACCCACCCATTTACTCACCCACCCGCACCCGCCCAAACAACACATCCGCACACGCACGCACACACACACACACACACACACACACACACACACACACGCGCACACACACGCACACACACCCATCCACACACACCCATCCACACACACACACACACACACACGCGCGCGCACACA